TACAATTCGGCAGCAGGGATTTGTACCTAAATTATCTTGCAACCCTTGCTAGAAGCCAGCATTTCACATGACTTTATATTTTTGATTCGATTTACGTGCAAAATAATAATTGATTGCATCGCAATATTTTGCACATTTCTTCAATTAAACAATGGAGTTAGAATATTGTATTTGATTCCAAAAACTAGTTGAATTTGAGAAGCACACGAAACACAAAGGTGATTGAATTTCTGTTCGATTGCAATACTCTTAAATTTAATCTAATAAGGATAAGAAATCCTCGGACAAAATATAATGGGAATGTTTGATTGGCTCAGATTTTGGCAGTTCATTTGGCTCAAAACATTCTCTCCGCCCATCTTTCCCTCTGAGTATTTCTACACTAATAGAATTGGGTTCTTTAAATTTGAAAAATATATTGGGTTTTTATATATCACCTGAAAGAGCTTCGTTCTCTGAGCACAGCGATATTTTTTTCGAACCCACACACTTTCATCTCGATTTTTAAACCAAGATTTAAAGCAAAATAATAACTTCACTGTTTGACACTAAACTGACAAAATGACAGCTCGCTCCGATACAAAGTGACACCGAGGGGCGCTAATAAGGTGATTTTTGCAAATGTAATCGTTCTTATTTAAAATAGTTCCAGTGTACCAAAATTGATGAAATTTTGGGTTTGGGTTCCATTTTTAATGCAGATTACGAATTTGCATTTACCTCAATACACTTAAAGAACCCAATTCCACACATTTTTATTGACGAATTTCCATGTAAAATTCCACAAGATTTGCATGTTACCACACATAAACAGAATCCACCCAGAAGCACACATGAAATTTATGAGTCAAATGAATAGTATGTGTGGATACACATGGCTTTTATGTGTACACAAATTAGGTATGTGTCCGACCCATAGATATCATTTGTTGATCACATTGCAAAAATTCATGTGTGGGACACATAAAAACAATATTTGAAATTTTATCAGTGTAGGAAAAACGAACCACTTTTTGATTCACTGATTTATTTGCACTTCCCTAGTAGCCTTTTGGCTTTATACGGGTCTCATCAGAATTTGCAAACACTGGTATACCCATTGTTCAGCTGTGCCTACTTGGGTTTCCCTTCTGTAATGTGCCGAGGGGCACACAATATAAAGAACCGGTGCATTGAAGTTAAAATGCAATCAAAAGTACTTAAAGTAATTAATGCGTTTTGAAGTAGTACTGACGGTAATTAAAATTATCTATTCGTAATTAATGCAGAATAAATATAGAAATCCCGCCTTTTAACATAAACTAAATGAACAGGTTTGATCATATTAAAAGTATACAGCTCTATCGCTCTATTTTCGAGTCACCTCACCTCACTCGCGGCGCAGAATAGACCTCGGTAACTCAAGAGTGAATTTGACAGCCTTATCTGCTTTTGTAAACAAAGATTCAAACATCAATTTGACGAAACTCTTCACGGAGATGAAAAACTTCCCAAAATTAAGTACTTTTCCCTCAATTTCGAAGTTCAGTCCAATAACCCAAATTTGAGTAAATTGCATATAGTAGTTTCCAGTTAACACCAGCAAAAAAAACTTATTCTTAAGTATATTCTAACCAAAATTTAGTTTAACTCACGTAAATTTGAGAATATGCAATTTACTCAAAAGCCTCGTCAAAAGCTGAACTATATCGTTGGGTCGAAACTCTCGTTCCTTTTTTGACAACAATAAAGAGTGCAAGTGAGAGGCTGAACTCAATATTAAGTAAAAAGAACTAAAATCTTGGGTGGTATTTTTTCTCCGTGTAGTATGAAATGCTTTATTTTCAGTGACGGGTTCATTAAAGGATGGGTTTTCAAAAGAACGTATCTGCCTTTGTAATCAAAGATTCAAGCGTCAATTTAACGAAACTCTTCTTAACCCACGCAAACTAATTGTACGTTCTGACTACAAAGTTATTAGATGTTATTAGATGTTATAGCGCTATCTTGATGGTGGTTTCTGGGTTGCAATTATTTGACAACCGTTATAACATGTTATAACTGCTCAGTCTGGCCAGCGCTTAAGGCTATGTTAAGAGTTATTGTCAGACTGGCGAGTTATAACATGTTACAACTCAATTCTAGATGCTCTAAAATTTTCACACTAGCAACTCAATGCTATAAAAATCTTCCTTTTCTTGCATCTACTTGCATAGTGCATCATCTTTTTGCAGGAAATCTTCAGAATGAATCGTCATCAATCTTCTTTCTATACGCCTTTATAATGCACCACCAACCTAGAGTGCGCCACGCGAGTTTGAGAAAAAACGTCAACCAAACCGTTTGTTTACATCAGAATAACTATTTTTCACAACGCAAATTAAAGCATTTTTCATTCAACATCTTGCCAATTTCCATCGGTAATTGTCTTATTGTACGATTTTCCACAGATCTGAACTGATTTGTACCTTAACTATTCACACACAAGAAATCCGGAAGATCATAACCACTTAGGCACTTTTCTAATTTTCCATTTTTCTTAACAAAAATATTACTGAACACCAGCAGGATCTTTGCAAAAACGTTTAGATTAAGTTTTGGAGCATCTCACATGAATCAATTTATCAGGAAAAGTAAAAAAGTGTTCCGCTTCCTATGTCTCAAGGCGAAAATTTTTGCTCACAACACTCTTTTTGACGTTCTCCTATTCACCACCAGAGGTTGAATCGATCGTTTAGTTCCTATTAAAAAGGCCTATCTACTCAGCGTGCACGCAGCTATAGCAAAACACAATCTTTTATGTATCGTAGATAGAGTCGCCCTCCTCGTCCACCACATGGTCTTGCCCGAGGTCTTGCCTTCTGGTATCGTGTTCAAAAAATTGTTAAATAGTCTTAGCCAAAAATAGTTATTTACCTTAAAATCACATTATTAATGGTAAGATAAACGGCAGAAGCCAGTTGACTTAGTTAAGAAAGCTTTGTAACCAGCACAGTGTAGGTGACTCAGCTGGGTTTAATTACCAATAAAACACACACTGGACAAAACAAGAACATAAACAAACTTGATTTCCGTCATTTGGGCTCGACCACTTCTGGCTCAGAGTTTGTGGCAGGATTCGACTGAAGAATATCAAAACAATTTGATGCTTGAGGAAATTTTCAAGCAGATTTTCATTGGCTTGCAAAATAGAATCGATGGAGTCCGCCGTTCCCAGGTTTCAAACCGAGTTTCCATCATCAAATTCGTCTGATGCCACCCCCCGTCAGTGGTGCATAAACCAGTTTTGAAAATTTCTACAACCGTAATTGTTAAATGTAGAAATAATAATAATGATGCAATTTTCATTATTGATATTTTTAAATAAAAATTAATTTCGCCATACATTCTCATTTCGATTTTCCACTAGCCCATACAATATAAGGCTGCTCGCCTTCTTGTTGTGAGTGCTGTCAGAAGAAAAATGAAACACCTAATTATATTCCTGGGCCATTATTATTACAGACTTAACCTTCCAGCTATTTCATTTTGTTTTCGGTTGTAAAATCTGGTAGGGTTTTTTATCTAATTTCCGTCCTACTAAGGACATCCCGCACTTTACCACGCTTTTTGGAAAGGGTTTGAACAAAACATGGAATGTTTTCATCAAAGATAACTTCTAAATTTATCCACCTTTCCATACGTACCGTTGGATTTGATAAAGAGTCAAACAATGTTGAGATATCATTAAAAATCTAACACTGCTTCTTGCTTCTAAATTCGTCCTACGCGTTTCAATTCCGTCCAAACGCATTGAAACGCCATAAGATTTTCTTCGTCCTACGGATAAACGGAGAAAAAGGGGATGCGCTAGGAGCGCTTCTTTTGTTTTGAGAACAATGCGCGTAAATATGCATACAATGCGCTCTAATAGGATTTATGTTGTAGCTAATGAACTACCCGCATAAACGCGAACCATAAATTGACCTTACCTAAAATGGTTAAAAATTGTTTATAATCCCTGCTAAACTTTAACTGAAATGGTTATGGAACTTTACATGAACGTTTAATGATAAAGTTTCAACCTTATGTATTATGGTTTTTTGGAACTGGACCTTACAAATAATGGGTTGTTAAGAAGCATTACCGTTCCAAATTCTTGTTTTCTCCATACATTTTCGGAAAGAGAACTATATTAGAACCTTTTAACTTATGGTTTGAGAACTTTAATGGTAATGGTTATGGTAGTCAGTTAGGTCCACGAATGGTTTTGTAACATCGATCAACTTTATGTGGAATATATCGCGAATTGGTTGCCTGTAATTTACTGATTACCAATTCACGATATATTCCACGTAAAGTTGAGCGATAATACAAAACCATTAATGGACCTTACTGACTACCATAACCATTACCATTAATGTTCTCAAATCATAAGTAAAAACGTTCTTATATAGTTCCCTCTCTGAAAATGTATGGAGAAAACAAGAATTTGGAATGGTAATGGTTCTTAACAACCCATTATTTGTAAAGTCCAGTTCAAAAAAACCATAATACATAAGGTTGAAACTTTATCATTAAACGTTCATGTAAAGTTCCATAACCATTTCAGTTAAATTTTAGCAGGGATTATAAACAATTTTTAACCATTTTAGGTAAGGTCAATTTATGGTTCGCGTTTATGCGGGTAACGCATCGGAACAAACGTATTATTGATTTGTGCATTGTGAAATCATTGATATTATTGATGATTTCTACTCGATATAACGGAAATGGGCGATTACGACGAAGTAGCGCTCTTCCCTAGTTAAAAAAAAGGTTTTTTTTCGAATTTGATGCTTGCAGTAATTGTTTCCAAAGCAGTTTCGATCTATTGAAATGTTGGAAATGAATTACACCCTTTGGAAAAAGTTTATTTTCAAGCTGTCAAAGCGAGGCAGATTTCAGTACCGGGTCACATTTCCCCTCCGTCATTCGTAAGTTTGCGTGACGCTCGTGCGCCCATCTCTCGTAAAATGTTTGCTCACTAGCGCCACCTCGCCGCTTGGGTACGGTCGCCGTGCAAACTAATCTGACGGACGGCCGCAAAAAGCCAAAATGGCGGAGCTTGGCAAAAACGAGAGACGCGTCCTGCTGTGTGTGTCCCGCGGTAATTGAGTGAAATACGTGTGATTTGTGTACGAAACCGGGCCGGAAGTTTGTTCCTGACACAGCGGAACAAGGATCCGATCGAGTTGTGCTGAAGTTGGCCCCTCCGTAGCGTAGAAACGTCGTCGGAAAGCGCTTGGAAGCAAAACGGCTCGTGACGAGGAGGACCAGTGCGAGAGAAGAGCAAGCGAAGAAAAGAAAGAAGAGCAGTGTGCATCGCGCACTGTGGTGTGTGGAATTGAGAGCTAGCTGGTGGACCTCTGCGGGAAAAAAAGTAGCAGGAAATAATATTGGCAACACACCAAAGGAAGCGCGGAAGAGCTTTGTGCGTTTTTCCTCTCCTGGTCGGTCGGTTTGGGGTGCATCTGCACTTGTCAAAGCCTTCCCTCTATTATTCGAAAAAAAGGGAGCAAGTTTTGTGGGTCGAGTTCACTGTGACCAGGAAGGACGACGTCGTCGACGACGGTTGTGGTACTCCCCGGTTGAGACGCGCGAACGTTGATCCGGTTTTCCTTTGTCGCTGGCCAATAGATTTCCGCTATCAGTTTTGGTCAACATTGCACAGTTATATCTTATTCGCTCGGTTGGTGCCTCCACGCAGAGAAAGTGGTGACCACGGCGAATGCCGAAGCAAAGCAGAAGAACCACGAAGCGAAGCGGGCCAGCAAAACAACGAGAAGAAAGTGAGGCAACACACAAAACATGTAAAAAGAGATCGACGCGAGTGAGAGTGTGAATTAATAATAATTAGCGCATTAGCGAGGGAGGGCCCGAAAAAAAGTGATGAAGCATCCGTCAACTGATCTCGGTTCATTGAGGGAAAATTAAATGTCATAATATTGTCATAATAGCCATCAAAAGAGTGAGGGTGGCAGAAGAAAAACAAAACAAGCACACAACACTAGCCCCACAATCAGCACCCCCCGAAGAAGCGCTCTACGCTCCTCCGCTCATCCTCTTCTGGTGCTTCTGTGCTCTGTCCACCGCACGGTCAGAGCAACGCGCGGGCGGCAAGTTGTTCGGTGTATGTGTATGCATGTATCCAAGTGTATGTTGCGTGCTTTCGGTGTTTGTGCTGCGAGGAAGTTGTTTCCCTTAGTATAGTTTATAATCACATTCGATAGCGCAAAAAGTAAAAAAATAAAATAAAATAAGGCAAACTGAGAATTTGATTCGCGCGCGCGAGAGAGAGAGAGAGCTAGAAAGTGAATTAAGTCGGAGTGCGCTTGGCAGTAGTAGGCAACATAAGAACCGAGGCAGAACGAGAAACAGACGCTGAGCGGGTGGTGGTACAAGCCAGCCGTCCCAAAACCTGTACTGCTGCTGCTGCTGCTCCTGCTGTTGGTGGTTGTCTCCGGTGGCGTTAGTGTAGTGGAACGGGGTGTTTGAGAGGGAAACGCCGAAAACAACCCCGCGGCCACTATGACAACAAACATGTACCGGGTCGGAGGTAGGTGGAAATGAAACTTTGTTTGTAGTTGTTTGAAATATGTCTAATCTTATTACTGGGGCTTATCTGATAGTAATTGAAGATCACTAGTTATCGGCGAGGAAATCTACGAAGCATACATACCCCCATCGGGATGCTCTGAAGGATTGTCATCAATTTCAACGAAGTTCTTTAGGGTCGTCTGGTGGGGCAAGAGTGCCACCTTAACAATTGGACGTTCTATAGTTTGGACGGAACTTTCTATAGTGCTGTTTAGACACCATTCATAGCTTCATGGCCGAGCTAGCATTGACAATGTGTTTATTTTCAATATTGCTGATCCAACTTATCTTTTGGAAGATCCTAAGGAAATTTAACCTTCAGCTTGCACGAGATTATTTAAATATCAAGAATCTTGCAGTTAGGAGTTATGAAGGTTCTGGGAAACGTTACTCGGGATTCATTTAGCCGATTAGACGGATTTTATTTTCAACCAATTCGTCGCTATGCAAATCGGGATAACTTCTTCCAGTATGAATCGGAAATCCATCAAAAATTGAGCATGATTTTCTAGCAAACCATGGCCCACTTAGTAATGGAACAAACTCTTTTGCTTATTACAGCGCTCCTAGTGGACGTTTTCGAAAGCTTTTGACGTATATGTCTTGACAACGACAATAACAACAACAGTGTATTTTTTCAGTTCATAAAACGCTCTTGTTTTGGAGACAGTTACTATGCAAGAGAAAATCCATCGTGGTCCGCGTCCAAGCTGACTAAAGTGTGTTTCCTAGAAATACCGTATGGCGCGTACTCAAAACGTACAGGGAAACCTTGAAGACGAATCGGAAGCCTCAAAGTAAACGCCGGAGTGGCATGACAACCGTCAGCTCTATGGAAAGGTCGTGAGGTCTATCAGAAGCAACCCAGGTATGGCCGATCGCGATTTGAGTAAAAAGTATGATGTCGCCCGTAGTACAGTGCAGCGAATTCGCTACCGCGATGGCTTACAGGCATACCGCGATCAAATCGATCACTCAAGCAGAATACTGTAGCTAAAATCCGTGCTCGAAAGCTGTATTACAACCTGCTGACCAAGTCCGGTGGGTGTATACTTATGGATGATGAAACCTATGTAAAGGTCGACTTCGGACAGCTTCCAGGACCAAAATTTTACAAGGCGAAGGCTCAAGGAGGTGTTCTTGGCAGATTCAAATTTGTTTTTGCGGATAAATTCGCGCGCGAATATATCATCTGGCAGGGAATTTGCAGCTGCGGCCAGAAGACAAAGGTTTTCGTCACTGAACAAATGATGAACTCGAGCTACATACGTTCGTCGACGCCAGCAACAATGGATTGACCGCTGCAACATACCTTCGCTTTGTTCAAGGCGATGTCATCGAATGTTCGCTTGTCAGTGCCAAAACAAGAGTCGCACCGTTACTACAACGTTACTACTGGACGGATTCTCGTGACGTTTACTGCTGGCTAAACTCGGATCATCGACGCTACTCATCGTTTGTTGCCTTCCGAGTGAGTGAAATCCTTGAGATCACCGAACTGGATGAATGGCATTGGCTATCCACCAGGATCAACGTGGCGGATGATGCGCGACTAAATGGGAAACGGTACCAGATCTAACGCCGGAGGGCAGATGGTTCAAAGGCCCGGATTTTCTATGGAGTTCACGTTCAGAATGGCCACTAGCTACAGAAGGAAATCCATCAACTAACGAGGAAATCCGACACAACGTTCTTGCGCATCACGTCCCACATGAATCAATAGTCTGCGTCAGTGACTTCTCAAGCTGGACGCGACTGATTGAAGTGGTAGCATTCGTTCACCGCTTTATCGATAACTGCCGTCGTAAGTCTGAACACCGATCAATCATCACGGGGTCACTCACGTCCCATGAAATAAACAAAGCCGAAACGTGCCTCTACCTAAGCTCAGTCTGACAGATACCCGGAGGAATTAGCACTTCTGCGTAGGGTGCTGGCCGATCCCAACGCTCGGGTGAACTCGTTGCCAAGTTCGAAGTTTCACCGTGGCTTGACGACAAAGGACTTATGAGGATGAGGAGTAGGATAGAGGCGTGCCAGTATGCTACTGAAGAGGCCAAGAAGCCTATTATTCTTCCGCGCGACCACTCCACCACAGCTCTAGCTATTTACCATTACCACCACAAATATCACCATGGGAATCATGAAACCACTATCAATGAGCTGAGCCAAAAATACTACATCCCTCGAATTCGTATGTACTATTCGAAGGTAGTAAGGAACTGTCAGAGATGCTAGAATGAAAGGGCAACTCCACATCCACCAATCATGGTGCCACTTCCACCTGGACGACTGCAGGCGTTTTCAAGACCATTCACACACACTGGGATCGATTATTTCGGGCCAATAGAGGTCATCGTTGGCAGGAGAGCAAAACAACCTTGGGGCATGCTTGCCACCTGCTTAACTGTACACGCTGTGCACATCGAGGTGGTGCACTCCCTTACCTCGGATTCGTGCATCATGGCTCTACGTAACTTTATTTCTCAACGTGGCAAACCTCGGGTCATCTAATAGTGACCGAGGAACAAACTTCATCGGCGCTTCGCGAGAGATAAAAGAAGCAGAGGTAAAACTGATTCAAGAAACTATGATGAAAGAGTTCGTCAACGCGGAAACAAGTTGGACCTTCAATCCATTCTTAGCACCCCAAATGGGTGGGAGCTGGGAGCTTCTCATCGGTAGCGTGAAGCGAAACCTAGCGGTAATCAGTCCGTCACGAAGGCCTACCGACGAGGTGCTGAAGAATTCTCTAACCGAAATTGAAAACGTAATTGATTCTCGGCCGCTGACCCATGTACCAATCGATGTAGATTCAGCTCCTGCTCTTACACCGAACCTCTTTCTTATTGGTTCCTCAAATGGCGTGAAACCGCTCAGCACGGTTGACGATAGTGGAGCTGCACTTTGACAAAATTGGCTTACATCCCAGGTCATTGCAAACCAGTTTTGGAAGCGGTGGATCAGTGACTATCTATCGGTGATCACACGAAGGACGAATTTTTTTTTCCTTTGGTTTGTTTTCCGTGCTGAGCACCAATGCTACCGACGCCAGGGAGGCAGCTCCCACACCTGGACCCTACCACCTATCGACCCATCAACTCATGAATCGGGGACCAACGGCTTTACTTCCCTTCCGAAGGAAGGCGTGATCAGAGAAGTTATGCCTCAGAAAATCCCGGCGGCGCCGACTGGGATTGAACCCAGGCCTGCTGGGGTGAGAGGTAATCACGCTTACCACTACACCACCGGCGCCGTTGAAGGACGAAATGGTTCAGCCATACGAAGCCAGTAGCTGTGGGAGATGTAGTGGTGATCGTTGACTCCAAGAATCCGCGGTTGGCCGAAAGGGAAGGTGATTGCAGCGTGATTGAAAAGCTGCTCAGAGAGCGCAAGCATCTGTAATTTGGCGTGCAGACGAATGTACTGAATTCTGAAGCGGAATTGGCGATTTCGGATATCGGCCACGGTTAGGGCTCTGCTTGTGTCTCTTCTAGTCCGGAGAAGTTCTAGGTCGATAAGTTGACAACGGCTTTCGTAACTGGGTAATCGAAACGGATCATTCCAAGGCAATCTACGCAACGCAAAACGAAGAAAGCGACGTTGAACAGATTCAATTCTCTCAGCACCGTTGTTGTAGTTTGGGTTCCAAACTGCTGAACAATACTCAAGCGTCGATCGAACAAGCGAACCATAGATAGATTTTAGACAGTAGATATCAGTGAAGTTTTTAGCTATCCTAAAAATGAACCCTAAAGTTCTTGACGCCTTATCGACAACATATGTGTTACTTGAATGAACGCTGCGAATCCAAGATCACACCCAAGTCTTTCACCTGATTCACGCGTTCGATTGTCGAGCCAAGCAGGTTCACTACCATTCTGTTTAACCTGCACCAACTAGCGAATACATTCAGTTGACGTTGAAGAAAATGACAGTCAGCAATGGAGCAGATTCGTAGGAAGATTTTGAGGTCATCTGCATATGATAACCGAGGAGCTTCGATGACCAGATGCACGTCGTTGAAGTACAGTATAAAAATTAACGGTCCCATGTGACTTCCCTGAGGTATACCTGATGTGGCGAAGAAGCTAGCTGATCTGCAACCTCCTATGGCAACTTTTAGTTGCCGACCGGTAAGATATGATCGAAACCAACTCAGAAGATTTCTGGAATGGACAGCGAGATTGGCAGTAGGTTCGCAAGGCTTTAGATCGTATGCATTTAATTCGTTGTAAGTGTGCATTTCTCCATGGTGGTTTTGGAGAAGGCCTGCGCAGTGCAATATAATCAACCAAGTAACTTATCGACACATCACAGCACTGTCGATGTCAGCTGCAGATTCTAGGATGTGCCAGTCAATTTGGCGGAGCGCTTCTTATAATCCTTCAAAATCAGCACGGTGGAAGTGAAGTCCAGGTTCATCTGGGAAATTTTCGAATGTAGTTGGCTGGGACAGTTCAATAGTGACGGGATGATCGGCGATAATAACATAAAGTGGTTCATGCATCCAGGTAGCGTTGTTTCATTCACCACAGCAATATCCAAGATTCGAGCGTTTTGGTAGTAATATGGTTGACTTGAAATAGCCTATGTAGACTAAAACTATCAAATAACGAGACACAAGCAACTGAGATGTGAGACTGTAATACATCATCGAAAGGATGTTCGTTGCTTGGTGTGTTACAAATAAGGCCTGACTGATTATAATCAGGTATCTCCAAGGCAGCTTCCGGAGCGCGAAGCGAAGAAAACGTCGTTGCACAGATTCAATTCGCTCGACACCATTATTGTAGTTCGGGCTTCAGACAGCAGAGCAGTATTCCAACGTAGATCGTACGAGAGAGCAATAGAGCGATTTCAAGCAGTAAATGTATGTGAAGTTCTTAGTAATCTTGAAGACAAAGCCAAGAGTTCTGGACGCTTTGTCGACGACATACGATATATGGTGTGAGTTTG